ATCTTCTTGTATGAGGCTCAGAAGCCTAGCAGAAACTGACAGCTAAAAGACCAAACTTTCAGCAATCTCATAGGCATGTGAATACAAAACCTGAAGTTCAGGGCTACTAAGGCAGCTAAGATTTGTTGGGTCAAGATCCCAAGAAGAAGGAAACTGCTTTAAGGTGAACCCGATACTCTGCATCTGCTTTCCACATGAGATATTTGCCGTTTCCTCAGTAGGATAAGATGCTGAGCAGAAAGTGATGTCTTAAGAAGCTGAGAAGCCAAGCAGATCTAAAAGCTGGAGTTAAAAACAGGAGTTCAGGGCCCACCAACTGAAATTTTTAGTCAGGACCATAAAAGGGCTACATCCTAGGAGTGAGACTGACCAAGAAATACACCAATCCTCACAATATGTGAACATAGTAGTAAACAGCTCAATATCAGTTTGGACTAATATCTACTCCAACAACCTGCACAAGGCAAAAATCAGTCTTACCTGAGGTAACATAATATCAGTTAGTGTCTCAATTTTATCTCTACAGTTTTTCATTGTACAATTTCTGATATTGATTTAATAAAAGCCAGGTATTCCTAAAGACAAAACCAAATGACCAAAAACCCAGGAAGAAAAAAGGACGATAGACTCACAGATAATCCAGATACTGGGGTTGTTAGACACACACTTAAATGACTGAGTAATGTGTTCAAGAAAATAGATGGCAAAATGGAGAACTGTAATCTTAAAAATGAATTCTAGAACTGAAAAATACATATGATATAAATATAGAAATAATTTATATAATAATATAATAAATAAATATCATTATCTCCATTTTATGGGAGAAGAAACTAAGGCATAGAATGTGTCTTAGCAAAAGTCACAAAGCTAGGAAGTAATGGAGCTGGAATGTAATGCCAGGCAGTCAGGCTTAAGAATCCATGATGTTAACCCTTTTTTATGCTTTAATTAAAACTCAAACTTTTTATTACTGCATGATTTAAGGATTATATAAAAAATTAGTGCAAAAGAAACAAATCTGAAAGGCTGTTACGAGAAGTGTAGGTGAATATGGGAAAATTATCTATAGGAAGGGAGCTCTGGTGGTGTAGTGCCTAAAATATTTGATTGCTAACCAGAAGGCTAGTGATTTAAGCCCACCAGCCACTCCTCAGAAGGAAGATTTGGCAATCTACTTCCACAGAGATACCGCCTCAGAAACCTAAGGAGGGGTCACTCTAAGTCAAATCAACTTGATGGCAGTGAGTTGAGAGTAAGATCTATAGAAGACCATATACAAAAGGGAAGCAAAAATTTTTCTACTTAAATATTTAAACCTTTTGATAATGCATCATTTCTATATACCATAATGTAACTATCGCTACATATTTCTATCTTACAATAATACTAGAAAAGAGGTGTCACTACTACTGCATTCTTATTCATTTTTTTCTCTGAAAATATTACCATCAGACACAGATAGTATTGATGTTTTCAATTTTAATTTCACAGATGAAAGAACTGGGTGTCATCTTCTACAACTGCAGCTGCCTGGTCCTAGATTTACAAAGGATATTTGCTTTATATAGTTCATTAAAATTCAAGAACAGAGTACCTCAGACCTGGTCCAAGAGGCTCTATGGAGTCTATGACAACCAAAAGAAATTGCAACTTCAGTTGAATGAAACCTACTCTCAAGCATTTGTGTCGGTGAGTTGTCACCCATTTTCTCCTCCTCCTTTTCTCTTCTCTTCTCCAGAGGTCCTTTTTCAAGTCAGAATATTTGAATGTGATACTGTATTAGGTAAAAATGAGTTATATAGACTGGATTCCATTTCATCTCTCCAGGCATTTATCATATGCCTCTTCTTTATTCACAAATTACATGCTGTCTCTAATGATAACAATAATAATCTTAATAATCATTCCTAGTTTGGGATGGGACCTCTGGTGGCATAGTGCCTAAGGCATTTGGCTGCTAACTAGAATACTGGCAGTTCAAACCCACCAGCCACTCCTCAGAAGGTTCTTATTTGATCCCCATAAATGTCCTGTAAGGTAGTCATGGGATTATGACTGTTGTACAGATAAAAATATTTAAGTTTATCACAAAGTTTTGCACTAAGTACTTCAGTAGCTACTTTTAAACTTCTGATTGTTAAAATCAAGGAAAAGCCTAGTGCTTAGGTCTTGTGATGCCAGATCCTATTTTTGATGCATTATGTCATGGATTGGACTGATAAACAACATTATGATAAATAGAGAGAAAATTAAAGTTGTCAAAGATTTTGTTCTACTTGGATCAACAATCAATGTCTACAGAAACAACATTCAAGAAATCAAATGATGTATTGCATTGGGCAAATCTGCTGCAAAAGGTGTCTTGAAAGTTTTAAAAAGCAAAGCTATCACTTTGATTACCAAGATGCACCTGACCCAAGCAATGGTCTTTTCAGTCACCTCATATACATGTGAAAGCTGGACAACAAAAAAGGAAGATAGAAGTATTGATGCATTTGAATTGTGGTGTTGACAAAGAGTATTGAATGTACATGGACTTCCAAAAGAATGAAAAAAAATCAATTTTAGAAGAAATATGACCAGAATGCTCCTTAGAATCAAAGATGGCAAGACTTAGGGTCACTGACTTTGGACACATAATTAGGAAAGACCCACTGCAAGAAAAGGACATCATGTTTGGTAAAGCAGTGAAAACAAAAGAAACGCTCTATGAGATGGACTGACACAGTAGATACAACAATGAACTCAAACATGAACAATTATGAAGATAGCACAGGATCAATGTTGGGAGGAACACAAGCACTAAAGGCAACAGAGGTAAATGCTAATGCGTACATAATCCTGCAATAACAGTAATAACAGTAATTAATAATCTACAAGTAGATACATAGATAGATGCACAAGCTCAACAGGTTTGGGAAGGAGAATGGGATTATACTCACAAATCAATATTGTATAGGTTTGACAGGATATTTCATCATATGTACTTACATATAATGCAAATATATCTATGAATATAGTATACATACAGGGAGCAAAGTTATAAAAATTTAAATCCATCGCCAAAAACCCTTAGAAAGTGAGCCACTGGGCATAGAGATTCAGGACAATTGTCCTGAGTGAAATCAAGGTCAGTTAGCACAAGATAGTCCACAAAGACAATGTTCGGCATCCTACTTTGGTGAGTAGCAACTGGGGTCTTAATAGCTTGTGAGTGGCCATCTAAGATGCAACTATTGGTCTCTTACCATCTGGAGAAAAGGAGAGTGAAGAAAATCAAAGGAACGTGGAAACAATTAGATTAGTTCAAAGGACTAGTGGACTGTGGTGTAGAGAGTTGCGTGGTATGGCTTTTCTAGCCATAGTCTTTGTAACTCCCACCGGATTACTGGGTGGGACCATGCAAATATGTCAGCTTGGCTGGGCAGCTGGTAGTAATTATTTCCTATAAGACTGGTAATTAACTCTGGTAGAATTTGCCCTGAGCAACTGAGTAGCTACTTTTAAACTCCTGATTGTTAAAGCCATCCACCTGGGGTGTTTCTATTGGAGCAGCACAAAGTTATCTTCTGGGAAAGTTCATTCTCTTCAGGTGTGTAGAACTGTGATGTTGGGATTGGTTCATTTTGCCACTTTGCCGGGCTTAAAATGAGCCTTCCTAGAGGCAGAGGGGGAATCTCACTGCCAGTTGAGATGCCCAGCTGAGAGACATGCCTGGCTGAGAGACAGAAGCAGTGGAATCAAGAGGCATGGGACAGAGTGGCAGGCTTACCTGGCCCACAGAGGCAGAGGTTAGGCCAAGAAGAGGCCAAGAGCCAGAGAGGCATGCCTAAGGGCACAGCAGAGGGGAGCCTGTCCTGATCAAAGAAGTGAATACTGAGCACATTCCTGAACTTGAATTGTAGCCTGTTGCTTCCCTAATATACCCCATAATCTTTGCATTCTGTGTGGCCACTTCAGTGACTTATCAAACCCAGCAAAGAGGTGATGAGTACATCAGGAGGGACAGTTGCTGTCAAGGTTGGTAAGAGGGCTGGAGAGTGGTGACATGTCTATCCTTATAGGAACAGGCCTTGGGCTGCTGATGGTATTCTATCTTTCTCTTATGGAGTTAGAGAAGGTCAAAAAATACTGCCTCCTTGCCCCTTTCTCATGGACCATGGGAACATCAGGCTACACAACCCTGAGACCAGAACTAGATGATGCCTGGCCACCACTGCCAACCATTCTGAAAGGGATGAAAATTGGAGAGCCTGGTTAGAGTGGGAGAAAAATTTGAAACAAAACTCAAAATCATAAAGAGACAGGCTTACTGGTCAGATAGACTGGTGGGACCCCTACAATTATGGTCCTTGGTCACTTTCAGACCTAGAACTGAACTCACTACCATAGCTGAATTTTCAAATGATAGACAAGTCTTCAAGGTGAACAGCAACTCTAGGAAGGTACATACTCCTTAAAACAATCAACCATTCAAGATCAAAAGGGTAGCATTTGCCCAAGGACAAAGCTCAGAAGAAAGGAAGGGTTAGGAGAGAAGGAGGAATGGAAATGAGAAACACAGTGGGGTGAGTGATGTTACATTAAGGGGATTGCAGTTGGTGACATGAAACAAAATGTATGTGAATTGTTGAATATATAACTGATTTATTCTGTAAGTTTTTACTGAAGTCACAACAAAAAGGTTTAATAAAAAAAAAGGTGGGTGGCATTACCTATGTCCCAACGGCTACATCTTGGCTCTTTATTTATAACCAACTCCCTAGGGGTTTTCATCCCTTTCAGAATGGTTGGCAGTGGTGGCCAGACATCATCTAGTTCTGGTCTCAGGGTTGTGTAGCCTGATGTTCCCATGGTCCATGAGGTATCTTGCAAAATAACTGGCCTTTCTACAACCTCAGAGAAGAGAAAAGAAGTCCTTAAAATGCATATAAAGCCATTTCCCACTTCCTTAAACACTTCATTGTTTACCACCATCCCCCCAACCCCTACCACACCAGGAACATCCTGGACACGTTTGAGGCATTCTTTGTTTGGGCTTAAGTTATCAAAAACGTACAGTATGCTTTATGGAAAAGCTTTTCTTATTTTTTTCAATGAGCTTTATACCTAAAACACCAAAAAGAAGATTATGAGCTCTGCTTTTCCATAAATAATAAACACTGTGAAGATTTTTAAAAATATATATATAGAGAGAGAGAAAGATGACAGAGGCCTAGACAATGTTTTATTCTACTATACATGAAGTCACCAGGAGTCAAAGCTGACTCAATGGCAACTAACAACAACATCCCTGGTTCTCAAACTTTAAAGTATCATTTGGGGAGCCACTTACAATACATATTTCCAGCTCCTGACCCCCAGGATATGATCCACTGGATCTAGGGTGAGACCTTGGACTCATGAGTTAAAACAAACTTCTGAGAGTAAGATGGTAGAATAAGTAGACAAACTACACAGAAACCCTCTTCAACAAAGAAAGGAGGAACCAATGAGCACAGATACAGAACATAATCCTGTAGCCTTGAGCTTTGAAAGGAAGGATACATAAGTGGAATAAACTAATAGAAGAACCTGCATGAAAACACCAAAAAAGGAGACATACAGAGCTGCAGACTATTAGTGATCCTGATGGCACAAATAGCTTGGTTATTGCCAAGTGAAAATCAGCCCTGCTAGCCAGGGGCTCCAGGGAGAACTGCACTGGTGGCTGGTGAATAAAAGGGGGAGCAATGAAGAGGGAGACGGGCTGAGCTGTGGACTTTTGGCTGCCTGGAGAGTGCAGCCATTTTGAACATTTATAAGCAGTTCAACCATTTTGGATATTTAAAGCCACAGAGTTCTCTCAGATTCCAAGGGCCTAAGAATAGGCTACACTTGCCAGGGACTGCAAGGACATTCCAGACACTGAGGATTGAAAAGGGGAAATATTCCCCTTATTACAGCCATACCCCAAACCCCCTTGGTGAACAGAGATATGGCCATTCTTCTCTCCCACCCACCTTCTGGGCTGGAAGGACTTCCATCCCAGTCTGTCTGCTCTGATGAAACCTGGGTGCTCTGCCCCACACTGCCCAGATTTTTTTTCTTCTCAGATTGTTTTTGTCTGGTTTTAAATTACTATTACTATTTTTTTTTCTTGTCCTTTTTTTTAGTGATTTTATTGAAATAAAATTTATGTACAGTGAAATACACAAAACTAAAGTGGCATGGGTCAGTGCGTTTTTTTTTTTTTTTTGCTGAGCCCCCTCCCCTCTCCTCCAACTCCCGGCAACCAACAAAAAGAGTTTCCCTCCATATATAAACCTTTCCTTAACCCTCCACAACAATGAACTACTACTATATTTGTCCTTCTATGGTTGACTTATTTCATTCCATAATGTCCTCCAAGTTCATCCAAATCATGTGGTATTTTGCAGACTGTACATTATTCTTTAGTACTGCATAGCATTCCATTATGTGTATGTACCATTTGGTCATCTGCTCTTCCACTATAAATCTTAAAGATAAGTCCCTTGCCAGATATGTAATTATTGGCAAATATGAATTTGTTGCTGTCATTTTTATTATGTGCTTCTTTGTGGTGTCAATTTCTTTGTTCCACATAATTCTCTATGCTGAGCATGTTTTGTTTATGAATCGTGTTATCACTTCCTTTATTGCTATTGTTTTAGTATTTGCTGAATATT